AATTCCAGAGGAAAATATTTTTATCTATTCAGTGTCCAATCCTTGACTTAGCTCTAAATGAGAAACTGCACACTACTGTTTCTGACAGAACTGTCACAAATATGTTCATACTTGTTTGTCTTTTCTTTCATTTTGCAGATCTCAGCTAAAAAATCTTTCATATTGCCTAAATTCGTGTCCGTATGGTTAGTCTTCTTTCTGCCATCCTCACACTCATCAGTGCCTAAGGAACTACAGGACTTCAGGAAGGAATTGCTCCATATCTTGCTGAATAAACTCTTCTGAGCCCAAACAGACCCTCATAAAAATCAACAGAAAAACTCAACTGTGAAAGTGAAGGAAGGAGGTGCTTTGCTTATTTTTAACAATAAGATTTCAACTGATAGCCAATAAAGAGCTAATGAAAGGTGTAGCTGTCATTTTTTTGTAATAAAATAAGGTGATGTTCATAGTCTAAGGAAAATACAAAACTTAACTTCAAACTTGAAAAAAACCAACACCCAACATCTTAAAACCAATTTAAAATCAATTGGAGTTTCACCAAACAAAATCGAGAGAATTCCAAAAACTAATAAGATGTCATTTGAGAAAGTATGCTTATTCTTTCCCATTTCAAAACAATAAATCTTTAAAGAAGTCATCCTTTATTAAATCTGAATACCTTTATTCCTTTATTATTATTATTATTTTTAGTTTACTGCACAGTAGAAATGTAGGACATGGTTACTGGCTCATTAAAGGCTGAAAAAAGAGCCCACAATAATTATATGAATATTTACCTACACAAAACCAGTGTAGTGAAAAATGTATGCTGGTTGATGAGCTGCCACTTTTTCAGGAAGAGTATTTATCAAAGCTGATACAAACAGATTCTGGGACAAAATGAAACGTAAAGCCCTCCAGAATGTGCCAATGAAGACTATACTGGTTGTATGAAGTTCAAAATTTTGTACTCTCTGTAAGAAAGAGTTCTATATAATTGGAAAGTGGTTCTCGTCAGTCTCTAACTTGCAAACCCTGTGTGAAGGGGAGTTGGGATGAATGACCTTTAATGGCCCTTTCCTACTCGAACGATTCTATGATTTTGTATATGCATTTGAACAAGCTTTTTTGCATATTGTTATGTGGATCCTGACATGTCCCCGTGATGCACCTTTAGTAGAACAGGTAATGGTCACTGTGGCCATTCCTCAGCTTTTCTGTGGCTGTCTTACTCTGTCATGACAATTGCTCATTACATTTTGGTATAATTTAGGCATACCTGCAATGTAGCAGTCACTATCTGTCAATACTATTGCTGTGATATCCTTCAAATGAAGAGTGCCAACAAACAGAGATCTGAGATATTTGAAGATATAAGCCCCCAACTCAGTAAAGAAAAAACACTGAGGCTTGCTATTGTACAGTGTGACACAGCACATTTCCTCAGAAGAGCAAAATCAGCGTTTTTGTGCCTACTTGTTCTATAACCTTCTTTTAAATAACTATAACTTGAAACTTAGCCATATGGATGGCTGCATCACCCTGCCAAAAAAACATCTGACTGCCTATAAATGCTTCTCTGACTGTTCTCAGCATTATCCTTTTTCAGTTATCCTACTGTTGCTTGACTAAGGCACACTGCACATCTGTAGTACAGAAGTTTATCCTATGGATAAATCAGATGCCTTTCAATTACGGAACAAATGAAGTTCTTTAACTTGAGGTGGGAGAGAATAGGGAAGGTCAGAGAAAGCGCTGAGAGGGCTGGAAAGCAGAGCAGGACAGTTTATTAAGATTAACAGCTGCAGGCTTGATGTTGCTAATGGTGAGATGGATTACACAAAACACAGGTGAATCTTTTCACAGTCTTATTTTTCCTACACTCCTTATTGTAGGGAGCTTTCTGCAGAATCCTGTAGCTATGCCCTTCTCACCCCACATCATTTGCAAAGGCTCAAGGCCAGGCTGAAGGTGTAATGGCTGATGGCCACATTAGCAATTAATTCTGCCAGCCAGGATCCCCTCTGCTTCACTGCCAGGTGCATGCTGCTGCACCGACTGCCTGCGTTCATAAGCACCAATGGAAAATATTTCTTTGATTTCAGAGTACAGAGCAGACAATCCACAGAGTGAGAATAAAAGTGATGTTCTTTGTAATAGTATGGCGATTTAATGGGAAAACAACAACAAAACAACTTGAGGGTTTCATATGGTTCCCCTCCTCTATTCAGTGCTGTCTCAAAGGCGGCAAATAATCCCTCATCTCGTTAAAAATCTGCCCTAACACAGTGGTCCCGCAGCTGGTACTCTCCCCTCCTGCAGGCAGCGGCATTCCCGCTCCGCGGGCGCGCATCGCCCCTCCGCGCCCGGCCGCGGGCACGCACCGTGCCGTTTGCTGCGCGCAGATGCGGATCCCGGGTCGGATTTTAGCTTCTCTCCCTTCGCAGCCCCTTCCCCGGCAGCTCCCCGCCCCCAGACGCACTTTTCCCGTAGAGCACAGAGCATCAGGTGCGGGTGTGGAGCAGCGGCCGCCCGCTTCCCCCCCACCCCGAAGGCACAGTTCCCCCTTCCCCTCACTCCCTCGTGCTGCGTGCCCCCTCCATCCGCCGCCCTCTCCTGCGGGCCTCTGCACTGCCCGCCCCGCTTTTTCTCGCTGAAATCCTTCCCTTCATCACAGTACTCTCAGTATGTTTGCCCCATTCTTCTCCCTCCGCAGCCAGAGAGATGGGGGCCTGGGGTGAGAGGGGGGGGGGGGGGGGGGGGATATAGCCGAGGAAGCGGATAAGCCTGGGAGAGGGAGGGGGGAAGAGAACGGGAGAGATTTTGCTGTGGTCTAACGGCTGATTGGAAGAGGCAATCATTGTATCTGCGGTCGGAGGATTAGCGGAGAAACTTTTATTGCTCCCTTTTGTGAGTGCGTGTGTATAAATGGAGAAGTCTCTTCTCCAAGAGGAGCATCCTTTCGGTTGGCATCAGGTGCAACTCAGGGAGGGACTGAGAGCATTTCTCTCATCCGTGAGCTGAGGGGCGAGGGGAAACGACCCCTCTTCTCTCACTCTTCTTTCTCCAGTTCTGAAATCGTTCCTTCCCCACCATTGCCGCCTCCCCGTTCCTCCCCTCCCCTTCCCTTCCCCTGCTCTGGATGAATGGAAGAGTCTCCAGGGTTTCCTCCTGCTCCTCGCCCCGGACCAGAGCAGTAAGGGGACATCACTAACCCTCATCCGTCTCCGTCTCGCTCCATCCGTTCCCGAGAGGACTTCAGACGGTGCCATGTGTTTTCAGCCTCTCGCCGCTGCAACCACTTGATACCACGCAACGCGCAGGGAGAGAGAGAGGCTTTTGCAAAATGGATTTGTTCGATTTTAAAGGATTTCTTCTCTAATAAGGATCGCATTGCACACAAATATGACTAAATCCCCTATTTGGTAAATCTTTCTTCCCCCACCCCTCCTCTTTGGGTTCCCTCCCGCCCACCCCCACCCCTTCAGAGGAGCAAGCACGGGGAGCTGATGACGGACCCATTAATCCCTTCTTCAATGCATCAAAAGAAGCCGAAGGGCTGGAAGTCGCTGGGCGCGGAGTCCTGCAGGAGATGTTTCCCTCCGCTCTGGGTTCTGTATGAAGCTGGGGACTAAGGCTCGGCTCGCCCCGCCGCCGCCCGCCGGCACCCGGAGGCGCGGGTCGCCGCCGTGCCCGCTGCCGCGATGCTCCGCTGCCGGCAGTGCTGCCGGGAGCTCGCCGTGATGGGATCGAGCCGGCCGTGATCGGTGGAAGGCGGCGAGGGAGAGAGCGAGCGGGAGGAAGGGCTGCTCCGCTCCGCTGTGTGTGGGCTCCGCGTTTTGGTGTTTTTTTGTTTTTCTTTTTCTTTTCCTACTTCCATCCTCTCCCAGCCACTGGAAGTCCTCCCGTATCTAAATGGAATTAGTGGAGACCGAAGCCCCTTGTGTAAGGCACAGACATGACCCATGGGCGCAGCTTCCTTCACAGTGAGTATCTCCTCCCGCCCAGTCTTACCTTCCGCTGCCCCCACAACTCGTCCAACGGGACCCCACGGCAAACTCCCCCTCCCCCCCCCCCCCCCCCCCCCCAAAACACCCCCTTCGCCCCTTCCCCAGCACCCCCCTGCGGTACGGTGGGGGGAGGTCTGTGTCTCAACGCCGCACTCCCGTTCGGGCTGTCTGCTGGTTTTCACCTTGGTGCGACGCGTCTAAATGGCTTTCGGCGTGCTATGGGGGAGAGGGGAAGCGGCTCCCCTGCTGCCCCGCTCGGGACTAGAACCGGCGGTCCCAGGGGCGGCCATGGGATGCGAGGCTCCAGGAGCGCTGCGCCCATCGCCCGTGGGCTCCGCGCCGGCGGTTCCCCCCCCGCACCCATCCCCCAGAGTGGTCCTCCCTGAGCAGCGGGGGGCACCGAAATGCACCGAGACCTGGGGCTGCGTGTTAGGACCCTCTCCTCCTGACGCAATGTTGGAGAGGATCCTCACTGCTGGAGGGGCACAATTCCTTTCACCGCCTCGCTATGCGCCCACACCTGTAAAACAGCAGTGCTACGGCTGGGTATGGCTTTTCCAAAAACTCTTCGCCTGGCTAAACCATGTTCATGCCAAATCATAGCCTCCAAAAAGCTTCCTGGCAGAGAGATAAACCTCTTAAATGTGAGGCTTGCAACGGGAAAATGCACAAATCCATAAAGATTCAAAGATGCGCAATCAGTGGAAGTAGAAAGTGTGATTATAATTACACTGATGATTAGGAGAGGAAAGAGAGGAAGAAGGCAGAGAGAATGCAACAAGAAATTTGGTGGAAACTCTTTGAATTAATTCCCAAACCCAAATAATGCCAATATTGTTGGTGTAATGCTAAAGCTTCCCAAGGGACAGCTTTGAATGTGTAAAGACAGTGTGATTGGTCTCTTTGGAGGGGTCCTTTTTTTTTTTTTTTTTTTTTCCTGTGAAAATGTTCTTTTCTGGTGGTTTGAAAAAGAAAAATGCAAGAGATCACAGCATAGAATGGACGATCATGACTGCCGGAGTGAAAGGTATCATGTTATCTTTCCCTGTTGACCCCACAATTTTACTTACTTTCTGGCACCGTATGTATTTTGGCGATGCTGGTGTTAATGCCACTGTATCAAGAAAAACAAAATTTTAAACATGAGAGAAGTATTTCACTACAAGTGATGGATATGATATGTGCAGAAAAATCTTTGCATCTCTCCACCTCTCTTTCTCTCTCTCTTTCTCTCTTTCTTTTTCTTTTTTTTTTTTTTTTTTTGTTTGTTACATTTTACATTTTATTATCATATTTATTTTGACTCTTTGTGATGATAAGTCAGTGTAGCTCCCTGCTTTGGAATAATACAGTTCTGCAACTTGGAAGCACTCCTTCTAGCGGTTAGCTGGAATTGAAAAGACCTGTGTTTTTCTATCATCTCTGTAATTATATCTCAGTGACTTGGTTCAAGTCTTAATTTTCTGGACTTCAATTTTAACATTTAGAAAAGGAGAGTTGATAGATAAAGGTGACTGAAGGGACCCTGTAAGAAAAAGACATGAATTGTGATTAATAGTCTAAGAAGAAACATTTCGCGTAGGGTTTGTTTAGCTACTGTTCTGCCTATACTAGCTTTCATAAAGAATCCTGTCTCCACATTCTAGCACCAAACCTCCTTAAATATGGAGAAATTTGGTTTCAGCTGGTGAGAATTATGGGCATAGATGCAGTGTGTTCACTGCATGAAACACAACTAAGTGAATGAGCAACTTACTGAATGCTCAAAACCTTCATTGCCTCCAGATTCTGACATAGCCGATGGTCAGAATCCCAGCAAGAATGCTTTTCCAGAATCCATCCCTGAGGAGCATAAGGGCATGAATCGTTGGGTAGCATCCAGATCTGAGCAGAAGATGCAATGTTCTCACTGAATGCCCATGACACAGAAGAGTTTTTAACTACCAGCCCTGCCAATATCCGTCTCTTTTAGCTGGGAGATTCAGGGACTGTGAGCCTGACCAAGAAACAGAGAATGTGCTGCCAAGACTTCATTTTCCCAGCACTTCAACCTTTCCCTGCTTAACAAGGTAGCCGTCATGCACACCTAAAGCCTTCTGTCACACAGGAAGGGTCAAAGGCATAGAAATAGATCTTGAAGCTAAGCTATTTTCAGAAGGACCACTGGGGGTAAGAAGAGGAAAGCACACCATTCAGTCATATGTGTTGAAGCCACCAATTCCTCCATATAGTCAACGATACAATCAGAAGCTGATGGATCCAAAATACTAAGGATAAACAGACAAGTTCATCTCCACTTTAACTTTAGTGTTGCCTGAGCACTAAGTCTGGGCTTTATGCCAAACTCACTGGGGTCAAAATCCTGAGCACTCCAGGAACTCGTACTCTTGCTATCCCACTTTCTCCTGGAAATAGCTGGAGAAGACCAGGCAGGTGGGAAAAAATCATAGAACTATGGTATGGCTTAGATTGGAAGGGCCCTCAAAGCCCACCCAGCCCCACCCCATTCCATGGGCAGGGCTGCCCAGGGCCCCATCCAACCTGGCCATGAGCACCTCCAGGGATGGGGCACCACAGCTTCTCTGGGCAGCTGTGCTAGTGCCTCAACATTACCATCATCATTCTGTGATTTCTCCATCAGAGAGCTGGCTAGTTATTTTGGTCTTCTGAAGCAAAATTATCTGAACTACTATTGATCTGAACATTTCCCTCCTAGCTTTTTCTAGTTGAAACATTATATTCTGTAACACCCAAAACTCAAGAACTGTCTCCAAGTTGAATTCTATATTTGTTCCCAAGAGCCACATCTGTCCTACCATGGTTGGAGATTATTTATAAAACAGACTGAAGCTTAACTGCTGCATAAAGCAACATACTCTGGTCAAGTCAAACAAACTAGATTAGTGAGACTATTAAACACACATAATAATTTATTTCACTGAGGATTTGCATATGAAAACCTCAGCCCTCACTACTTTCATAGTCCCAGTACTTATTTTTTAATTTTATTATGCCTTGATAAGAAACCAAAGTGATTTGGTGGCACTGAAACTTAATAGGTCTTTGTCTACTTTGGTTGAATACAGCTTTTTTTTTTCCTTTATTTCTGGCCCAAGCTATGATTATATAAATAAATATTCCTAAAATGTTTTGTTTTAATATTAAAGAAGGCAAAATAAAATAAGAGGCAAACATTAATGCTTGGAAATTGCATTTTAAGCCAAATAGTTCTCCTCTTTATTTGAATACATTTACAAAGATAAACACTTACATGGGCAGGTTACAAGTAAATGAGTTCATATAAAAAGTGAAACTTAAGGATACAAGTAAACATGAAATACTGAATTTTTTACAGTAATTCTATTTAATTTGTGTTCTTTTCAGATGTTTACGTTTGATTTAATTGCAGACACTATTACACTATTATACCTAATGCAAATCTCTCTTTCAGTCGTAGCAAGTCTAATCATCCTACATTTGTCTGGGGCAACCAAAAAAGGAACAGGTACGTAAACTTCAGACTTGTTTTACAGTCTTAAGTTTGGTTGTGAGTTGTTAATGTAGGTCTGGAAATTGTTTGTAGACCACTTACAGTGTCTGTAGTTTGTTCGTTTGTTTTCAGTCTGTACAATCCCAAAAATCTTGTGGTGATTTTTTAACAAGTTAGTGACCTTATCCATGGCTAAATCTAACTAAAGGCTCAGCCTGACCTTATCTAGTGGCTGCAAAGTGCCCTCTCTTTCAGAATAGATGTTCATATTTGGTACCAAGCAATTTTGTCTCAAAATCTTTTGATTGCTGAAATAGAATTCAAAATATGAAATAAGGCATCCTGGCTCCTTGTGCAGTGTGGGGATAGAAAAACAGTCTTAGAAACCTTGCATGCTAAGTGAAGTGATGGCCAAGCAGGGAGGGATGCTCAGCACAGTGTGTGTCTGAACATGTGTCTGAATACTCACTCCCTGCAAACCCGAATTCATTTCAGGAGATCAGGATCCATTTCATACTTAGCTTGGATACGGACCATGAAGAAAGAGAAATGCATGCAGAGTCTAAGGCAGATCTCAGGTGGTTAAAATCATCCTTGGAAGGTGCCGTCTCCCTCCATTGATCTTAAGAACCTCAAACAACTTGACTCTGAACGTGAGAGGCTTGGTGGGACAGACTTGGATACAGGCACCTGGCTGGGAGCTAAGCACAGGAGGCCGTTTGTGATTCCCGTGAACTCTAAAAACTGGTGCTTTTCCTAGAACCTGCTGTCCCTTCAAGTCTAGATTTTTCTCCTCCAATCTTATTTTGGCCTACTAGTTAAAGCACAATGCCCAGGAAGCATCTTTTTCAGCCTGAAAAGATTAAAATCTTTGTCTTCAAGCTCTCTGCCAACGTGCAGAAAGGGAACACAGGAGTTTCAGAGCTAGCAAACGAGGACTGACCCTGCTCTCTGATGACTCACCTTGGAGGAAGAAAGTTCTGGGCTGTGGTTTGTGACCCCATCTCTGTCAGGTGAATCTAGGCTCACAGCATTGTGAATGAAAAGCAGTTCTATTAGAATTCTGGAGTGGTTTTTGTTCTTTTTTTTTTTTTTGCTTGTTTGTTTTCTTGATTTTGAGTATTGTTGAGAAGGCACACGTTTGAATTTTTTGAAGTACGCAAGGGAGAAACTCATGTCTTCTATTCTTGAGCATGTAATTTAAAAGGTGATGTAAGGATGACTTCCCTCAGATATTCAAGACTCTTCTCTGCTTTGAAAAAATATTTTGAGTGAAAATATCCATAAAGAACAGTTTAATTTCCCTCCAGGTCAATGATCATACTTAGACTCAATAGGAAAAAGCTGATACCACCATCAGATGGAACTGTTTTGTTCTGTAGAGGAGTTCAGAGTGTCAAATAGACATCATAATTTGTAAACTAACCATATGATTTTTAATGTGATCATTTCACAGAAAAGCAGACTACTGCCGAAGGACAGAAACCAGTGCAGTGTGGAACTTGGACAAAATATGCGGAAGGAGGCATCTTCACTTCTCCCAATTATCCCAACAAGTATCCTCCTGACAGAGAGTGTGTCTACATTATAGAAGGTGACCAGCCAATGAATCTTTGTGGTCTATCAACTGTCAAATAAATATTTTACTTTGCTGTATGTGAAGAGTTGATAAAGCTTCTAAGTTCATGATAAATCTTTTCAAGAAGCAAGATATAGAAAAGTTCTATCTCAGCAAATTGTCTTTTTAATAAAAAGATTAAAATACATTGGAAAGCATACTGGGAAATACTGGAAAATGCCAGATTTCCTAACAGACTAATAAAATAGCTTAGGTGTCAAGTATACATAAGTCACTTAGGAATAAACAGTATAATTTATTTTAGAGAATGGATAGAACCTAAAAAGCTGTAATATGACAGAAACCAGAATATTTAAAATGAATAAAAGGCATGAACACAGGTAACTCGAATGCTTTCAACTCCTCATATCAATTTTTTAAACTTGTCATAACTGAATCAGGGATGATAAGCACATCTAGATGAAGTACAGTAAAGAAGGTTATGCAGAAAACATCCATACAGTGAGCATAAAAATATTTTCTACACAAGTGTTCATAAGAATTGAAAATAAGGAGATTAACAAAATGAAACAATAAGAAAAAACAGCGCAGAAAATAGTAAATGTAAGATCCAGTTCTCAATGAGTAGATAGTTGAAGGTCTGGAGTTGAAGTAAAAAAGGCTTATTACATACCTCTAATTTCTTTTCATGAATCTTAGCAAAATGGATGTGAAGGGATTCTTGTAAAAAGGAATCTGCTGAAGGTAACAAAAGATTAGATACTGTTGTAAGCTGGTAACAGAAAAGATGAATCATGAACAGAAGTGGTAAGGCCCTGAAACTAAAAAGATTAATGTGTGAGTTGTGATTACATGCAAAATACAACACTGATGATTGCTCTATCCACGCTGAGTTGGAAAGAGCTATTAATTTCACGTGCTGGAACCAGGACCCGTAGAAATATATATATATATTTTTTTTTAAAGATGCTGATTGTTCCAAGAAAGATTTTGAAAGCTGTATAGATCATTCTAACTAAATTAACTGCTTTAGAACCCTCCAAAAAACACTTAGAGAAAACAGTTTGTCTTTCAAAACCTAGTGCTGATTTACTAATAGAAACACATTTCATAAAAATCTTTCAGAGAAATGATGGATGGTAAATGTTGTATGTATAGTTTGAAAATAAATAAATAAATAAATAAGATATCTGAATTACACTTTAGTGATAAGTAAATTGACTGAAGTCAGACGTAAAGAGATGGTTACAAATCAGGGAGTCAACAAGCCCTTTGAGATAAATTTATGCTTCTCCAGTCTTCCAGAATTCTTCCAATGTAAGTCTGGAATTTAAGCAGATGTATGGTAAGTATGTCAGTTCTTTCATAGTTTAAAGAAAATCAATAATAATAATGAGTATATAGGTTCCATAAGTTCTACTTAGTACTATATTGTGATATTTTTGTATCATTTATGTTGCTAAATCCAGGTCTTTTTGCACACTGCAGTGAAATGATCTCAACATTCCCCTAAGGAGGGGAGGAAACATGCCTGTTTTATTTTCTAGGAACTGAGACAGAGACAAAGAGAAAAGTGGTGGAAAAAATGAAAAAAAAAAAAACCAACAACAATAACAACAACAAAAACCCATCAATTCTGTAAACTCTAATCCAGTCTCTTAAGCCATGAGGAATTCCTTCTGTTAGTAAGAAGGTGCCTGAAATATATTTATTGTAAGGACCTGTCTTTATTATTTTAAGTACTTATGAAAAGATAATTAATAAAATGAAAAGTGGTAGAATCTGCTATTGAAATAGACTGCTTTAGAATGGTTCAAATTGGAAATATCGAAGTATAGGAAAGAAATACTTAAACATCTGTGTTCTAGATGATGAAATCCTATGTTGACAATTTTGTAGTAATATCCATGCAGTAACAGAAATGATATGAATTCAATAGATATCTTTATATTCTATGGGATAAATTGATTTTAGTCTTTTTGCTTCATGTCCAACTGTGTTGAGCAGTCTGGATTCCAACTGGGTAGTTTAAAACCTATGATGATGTCAGCTGTATTGTATGTAATTTGATGGGAATCATGCATGCTGCACAACACATTCATCTCTGCCTTTTTCTGTCTTCCAAAATGGTCAAGAATAGAATGTTTTTAAAAAATCACCAAAGTGTAGAGATGTCTGAGAAACCATACTTTCAGAAGTATCAGTTTTGGAAAAGGGCAAAAGGGACATTCTGAAGTAATCTTTTGTACTTAAAGTAATGTATCTGTTCCAATTCTTTTTACAACAGCTAAAGAGAGCATAAAATGACAAAGAAGGCTTGCCAATGAAGATATTCTTGCATATCTTTTGTGCATTGTAATATTTTCTAATCCAAGACATAAATGTCTATAAACATCTCTCTTTACATCTTATTCCTATATTTATTATTGAGATTCTAGCATGCTTGGAATAGCTTCTGTCTGCTGTTATATACCAAGTATCAAACTACAGGGACTGTTGATGTGATCCAGACTAGCATTTCTATACTGAGGTCTCCTCTTTGTATATCTTAGCTCAGTGTGCCAGTACAATAGAGGTTTGACCACTGTGTAACCCAACTATAAATATGTACATGGATCAGCAGGTTCTTTCCTGCATGCTTGCTTTCTTTCCTTCATTTTTTTGCTATCAAACACTATCAAGGGTAAATTCTGATGGCTTTCCACAAATACAATTCTGACTGACTTTAAAAGATTCAAGTGAGCACTGCAGCACATAGTCTGTTATAATAAAATTGATGTTCATCTCACGATGCAAGTTTTCCCTCATATTTTAGGTCATCTTAAGTGTAAGCAAGCCTTTTATCATTTCAGAATTATATTGGTGAATTAAGAGAGCTGGCAAAAATTGCCATGATCATACACTGTGAGCTTTTAAAAGTGAACAGGATTTTTGATTGTAGAGTCTATACTAGCAAAGTTGTAAACAGATCAAACAGATAGAACTTTCTTTTTTCTTTTTCCTTTTTCCTTTTTTTCCTTTTTTTTTTTTTTTTTTTTTCCCCATTTTTTTCACTTATCTTTTGGTTGTAATGACAATTAACTTTTGGAACAGCCAGAATTTTTTGAAGTCCAGGTTGGATGCCTTTCTAAAAGTTCTTTAGGTCATCCAGAAGTTATGGACTCTGTACAAAAGATTTTATGCTATTAAGCAGCTTCTGGTGAGTCCCATCTACCTTTCAATATGAATCAAGATTTTTTTCTTCTTTCTTGTTGTTGTTGTTGTCATTTTTTGTTCAATCCTATTGGGCATATAGAGAATGTAGGAAATAGCTGAATGTATACATTAAGATCTCCTTTGGGATTAATTTTACCCTTGTTTCACATGTTCATGACTCTTACGTGGCAAAATTCACAGCTGCTTGGAACAAACACAGGAGCAGCATTAGACTTTGCCAGACTGCAGAAAATTGGGCACACATACTCTAGAGGGAAAACAAATAGGAGTTTTTTAGAAGCAATCTTTTGTTGCTGTTAAAAATATGTGAGCAGTAGGACTGTCATACTTTACATAGTATATTTTTAGAGCTGTTTTGGAAATAAATAATCTTAATACTTACATGTTTTTATCAGCTCTTCAGTTTTTACTAAATAAATGCTTATATATAAATACAGTTATGGACCAGAATTGCTTATGAAGAAAAGTATTGCTTCACTTATGAAGTAAATCTTCCACTTTATATCCTTGTGGAAATTCAGAGTAAGCTTTTTTTTGAAAATCTTCCATTTTTATTCTTAAAGACATTAAACTCTTTACTCCTAGATATTTACCTGTATAAAAATTATCTTCTCTCAAAGTCCTTTCGTATTTCAGGTGTTCAAAAATATTCATCAAAACAAAGAAAAATTCCTCCTTCAAAGGGGATTGTAAGTGTCTTTCCTATCAATAATAGCTGTACAACCAGAAATACTAAGGATCATTTAAAACTGTTAGTACTGTAGTATCCCAGACAGATAATGTTTGATTTTTCATTTCTATGTTGTCTGGTAAATTGAAACATTTTTTGCTTAACTTCCACTGTCACTTATAGTCTCAGAGACTGATCAGAATCTAAATCCTACTTGTGTGTTTTGTTGCAAATGTTCTTCTTCTGTAGCTGGAACCCAAATGACTTTTTTTGTTCATTGAATGTAAAATCTTAGTATAGCTCTTGTAAAAGATAATTAGATGAAAAAGATGACAGACATAAGCATTAAGTAACTTTTCTGCCATATTAAATGTCTTTGAAGAAACATAATTGGAAGCTAACTATGGAAGATATTATGATTTGAAATACAACCAATTTCTGAGATACCTTCAATATATTTCATTTGGACACAGCAGAAACTTTTCCTGTGAACTGTAGTCATAAAATAAGGTTTGAAGATGTAAGATGTGAATGTGATTTACCTGTGAATGAGGACCATTTCATCCCTCCTACTTTGATTAGACAGTGGATTCCAGTCTAGTATGGAATAATTTTTATTTTTTTTTTCTTTTTTCTGTCTTTTTACTGGATTTTTTTTTGTGTGTGTGAGTACTTATGCATACTTTGTTCTTAGTCATTATTCTAGTCACTGTATTTCTGTAAGGTTTACTGTGATTATATTTGCATACAATGTTGCAGAAAGAAAGCTGTGACACAAGGCATATATTCATACAGTACCTGCTTGCTTTAGTTTACTTATAGCAAGGAAACCTTTTACTGAAGTCAAAGAAAACTGTAAAACTGTGAAAATATACTTTTTTTTTTTTTTTTTTTTTTTTTTTCTGAAGTGTAGGTAAAGTTGGGAATTTGAATTGTGTTTTTATCTCTTGTTATCATTTTCAGGAAGGTCTGGATCACTTTGTTTGGTAGATTATTGCAACAAAATGTTTAACCTTTTGCTCTAAGATGAAGCAGGGAAGTGCATATAAAAGCATGTAGAGAAAAGGTAGCATGAATGCTTACCTAGTATCCCTTTTAATCTCTGCTCAGTCTTCTGTAATCACCACAGTCACTGTAATTATGGAAACAAAAGTGTTGAATTCCTGAGAAGAGTTAAAAGAGCTATCCTCCTTTGAGCTAGTGTGCAGAGAAGTTTGTGACACTTATATAGTGTCCAGACTAAAATAATCTGGGAAGCATTCACTGGGTTTAAGACTGATTGGTGGAATTCTGCAGGAACTGATGAACTCCTTTCATCTTCCTAGTGACCAGTACAGATCCAAACCATTTATTGTGAATGGTCCTTGGCCAGTGAGGAAATCCACATCATGCCTAAGAAGGCTTTTTTGGAATTCTGACTGTCATGGGCCAAAATCATTCTAGCAAGTGATTTTAATGGTTATGGAGTGAGAACTGTCAGTTGCCAACTTCTAGACTCACTTCCTGGCCTTCTTTTATTTAGCACTGGAGAAGCAGACATGATGAATTGTCAGTGCTCCATTCTTAAATCAGAGCAGCCTCTAAGCATGGGAGACCTGGTTGAAAGTTGGGAACTCTTCCCTGGGCACTCCATAAGCTAATGCGATTTTCTTTGATCCTTTAGCAAGAACAAAGCTTGACTAAAAAAAGCCTTTTCTTGGCTTTGTTGGAAAATAAACAAAAGCAGAGGAGAGTAAACTACTGCAACATTTTGATCCTAAAACTAGTTTGCCATGTGAAATTCAGAGTGCTGTATGGAGACTGTGAAAATGGTGCTGTCTTTTCTCAGGCCATACTCCCACTGAGCCAGTTGATACAATATGCAAGTCTGTAGGCCTCAGACTCATTTACCTCCAAGGTCTCATGTTGCAGTAAGGATATAACTGACTTGAAGCTACCTTTTCAGTGTCAAAAATAATACGAATGAACTCAGAGGCAAGTTTATAACCATTTTTACCATTTGGGAAATGAGTCTTGGATTCAATGAAGTCTGCTGAGTATTTAACTTCAGAACTGCCAACCCTTAAATATGAAATGGAATTTGCAACACCATAAAACATTACAATAAAGCTTTTCGTATGTTGATAGCACTGTATTTTGGTTAGTGAGTATGTAAGTCTTACAGAGCATTCTCAAGATCATCCACAATTGCCATTGAGTTCCTGATACTTGACTCTATAGTCCTTAGATGAGAAATGAATAGTTCTCAGCAAATCTCCTTAAATGGAATAAACATACAAAAGATGTTTGTAGATTGAAAAACAATGATTGCTTTCTTCTTCCCAAGTCTTATTTAGTTAAGTTTAAATAAAATTTATTGTAAACATATGAAGACAAGGGTTGAAAAATCTGGACAAAGAATCAGTGATGATGTCTTCCAGTAATTCAGCCTATTGTTATTGCCTAAAAGACCTCCTTCAGAAAGAAAGAAAAAGACTTCATTCAGAATAGCATTAATTGTCATTCCAAGCATTTTCTTTTTCCTGATTTTATTTTTTTCTCATTTTCAAAATAGTTTTATTTTCAGGAGTTCTGAATTTCATGCAATTCTATGTAAAGTCTTAAGTTTTGATTTTACTATTGAATTTTTATGGGCACAGATATTACATGATGAAAGTATTGCAGAGAATACATACAAGTTAATTTCCTAAAACTTTATGTAAATAACAATGAGCCAATAATAAATACTTTCCTAACCTTAAATTCCTTCAAATGTGAAGCAATTAGTAATTTCTGCTTTAAATATTTCATTAAATATAAATAATTCTAATATATTAAAAGTAAAGCTATTAAAATACTCTTTCTTCTCAAATAATCTGTTATTAACTTACTTCTTCAGAGTCTTACAAAATGAACCTATGCTTATTTACATGAAGTAGTTGTAAACGGGTTTTATTTCTGTGATCTTATGTAAAGTGTATAAGATTTATGTCTACATCTTTAGCTTATTTTAATTATTCTCAGTTCTTAAATAAGTAATGAGCTTATCTCAAAAGGTTCAGATTTCAAAATACACACACAATCTAGCTTCTGGTCACACTGATAATTGTCTTATTATTCCTAAAGAAATAAATGGAAAGATATTGACTGCCACAGTGGCAGCATTTGCCTTGTTAAGTATGTGTCCTAGACTTGGAGTTTGATCTTACGTATTTTAATGTGAAAAGAATGGTAAAAACTGGGCAAATTTCTCTACTAACATGTAAACGTAGGACATGATCCCATGAGAGGCATAGATGTGGTGACAATGAATCTTTCTCTTTGCAGAAGACTTTATAGCAAAAACTTTTACTACTACACCAATACCTAAACATATTAATCCAGTATACCTTTTTAACTATCAATCAGGTTAAGCATAGAAGAAGCACATCTCAGGGATTCTGCATCTTTAAAAAATATAAATCTATTAAAAATTATGAATATTTTTCTTTTAACAAAGTATTACAGTTGAACCAGTGACTGTATTGTGTTCCATAGGAGATGACAGGGAAATTTTGTATCTGAGATCATTGTGATTGCTACTAGTTTTAGTACCTACACTAAGTGTTTTTGTTGTTTATTTTTTTGTCTAAAATGACCACTCTAAAGTTTCTTAAAGGTTATTCTAAATAAAATTTTTTTGCTCTTTAGTAAGTTACTTTTGCTTCATCTTTATTCTTAAATGTGAATTAACTTTACTTTTTCATGTTTAATGAGATAATTGATACGAATTGTACTCAGATCTGCAATTGACTACTGTATGTATGGGAACAGAATTTGTGCTTAGTGCTATACCATTCCGAACAGACTTTTCTTCATCTTTGTATTAATTTTAAAAGTATTCTGATTCATATTTCCCTTCAAATAGAAAACAAGGCTGTTTTTTTCAGATACATAAGATTCTTAGAAAGCTGTTGTGTTTGATTGTTCCTAAATTATATTTTGCTTTACGTCATAGATATCTCCTTTAATTTTACTAAAAAAAAATTACACATTTTTCTGTGAATAGATGAGTAAAACAATGGTGTAAAATCTAAAAAAAAAAAAAAAAAAAAAAAAGTAAGAATTTTCAAACATAGAATCTTTTTGTTTTGTTTTGTCTTATGGACAATGTTAAGATTCATATATTAAGGTGTATAAAAATTGTTTATTTGATTCTCTTAATTTTGTATCAAGTTTGAAGGATTTTGCTTTAGAAAATAATATGATAATTTTCTTTCCATCTCCAGCTGCCCCTAGACAATGCATTGAACTACACTTTGATGAAAAATATTCCATAGAGCCTTCTTGGGAATGTAAATTTGACCACATTGAAGTACGAGATGGACCTTTTGGCTTTTCTCCAATCATTGGACGTTTCTGTGGACAGCAAAATCCACCTATGATAAAATCCAGTGGCAGATTTCTGTGGATTAAATTTTTTGCTGATGGTGAGCTGGAATCTATGGGGTTTTCTGCTCGATATAACTTTACACCTGGTAAGTATAAAACATCCCAATTATTGATAGAGAAAGCTAAGTGTATTAACTTTGCGTATGATGTATAATGTATAATGATATGTTATTTAATGTCTTTAACGGGGTCTATCTTTAATATCAAAGAAAATATTAATAGATAGGAAATAATACAAGATACATTTATATCACGTAATAAGTAGAGCTTATTGAAGAAAGAAATTTTCAGTACAGTTCTATCCAATATACATATACTCTGGCTCTGCAGTTTTTATAAGAATTGTTTTCAATAGAATTCTGTTACAGTAAATCATTCAAAATATTTCACGGGAAATGTTGTGCTTTATGCCTGATTGTTACACTGTACAGCATATCCTTCAAAATTATTATTGATAAAGTATTCTAATAAAAAAATCTAGTTACCTCAGGAAACTCCATCTTTGCATTTCCACTTCACCAATTATTTCACCAGTTGAAGAGTGGACTAGTTCTACCTTTTAAATAAAGTAAATTCATATGTTTTGCCAGAGAAGTGTGAAATACAAATTATAAATTGTATTAAGTAAATCTTAATTGTAATTGTACAGCTATTCATTCGTCACTTTCAAAACTTAATTCATAAAAGTAAAAAATAAAATTCATGGTCATAGTTCTTAACTGTTTCTTCTCCCACTTAACAACATCTTAAATTTCATTTTTGGCTGACGCTACAGTATATTACACTGAACTGCTGGATTTGACGTACTTCTGTACCTTCTTATTGAGTACTGAGTGATGAATCATACCTTAATATAGCTTGCTGTAAAGCACTATAATTATTATGTAATTTTATCAATTGTCACCATTGTTTCAATTAAATTGTTGTACTGGGTGGAAAAATATTCCTTTATAGATATATATATCTGCTAAAAATAAAGAGCCTCAGATTCTGCTTGCTTAATTATTCCAGCAGCATTACAGAAAATACCAGGGCTACTTGAGTGTTCCTCTATGTGGCTTTATTTCTCTAATGAAAAGAAAATAGTTATAGAATTAATCAGAGTAATTCAATCTTCTTTAAAGTCAAAGATTCTGGCTTCCAGAGGGAAAGCATACTTAGATAATTCAAAGAACAACAGAACACAGAATTTCTGTACGAAATAACCTAATAAACAGGTAGATGTATATATTGCAAATGCAAGATAATACATGAAATTGCATTATATCCTTACACACTTGTCTCTGAAAAGTGAGTTAAATTTGTATGTCTCAGTTACCATGGCTCTCTGGACTTTTGCCATTTTCCTCTCCATCTTCCCCAAAAGTTCTTTGCCTCAGATTTCATTTCCTTCTTTTTCAAAGGGATTTGTGTTATGGTTGAAAATATGTTCATAGTATGACCTCCAGTTTAGTTTGTCTAAAAAAATCCTCAAGTGATTATTTCATGGACAATGTTTTATTCTCATTTCTTTTCTTCTGATGTAAGGTAGATTTCTGCACGGAGATCAATGCTGTTAAATTTCTGTAACAGCATAAATTATTCCAGACTTCAGATGGAAAAGCTGTCTTTTTTTTTTTCCTTTCTTCTTCTTCTTTTTTTTTTCCCCTTAGCTTTTTATACAAAGCTTTGCAAATGATAAAGGGTTTCTATGAATATTGGCCAAAATGAGAATATGATTAATTTTACAAGTGCAAAGCAGCACTGCTGCCTCGTTAATCCTCAATAACAGGATCCAGTTCACATTCTGGATGAATTGCTTGACCAGTTCTTTGTGATATAAGAATGGATTAGGCCTCATATTTTTGAGATGTGCTGTCCAAATATTTGCAGTTCAAGGGTTTGCTGTCAGCTCATCAAATACTGACAGCTTTCAAGAGGGTGTAAAGGAGAGGCATTGCTTCTAGAAAGTATCATCTAAATCCATCCCTGACTATTTCTGCAATTAAACAATTTACAAAGGAAAGATCAAAAGAAAAAAAATACAGCTGACTTATTTTTAAAGAACCTCAAGAATATTTAAAGTAATTTGGCAATTGTTGGTATCTGGAGCAGCTGAATGCTCAAGAGTAATAGTTGGTTACCTGTACGGGTGCAAAAAGTACACACTTGCAGCCCTGTGTAGGAGGCTTCCTCCACTCTTGTGGTAAGCACTACACAATTGTTTCTTTTGTTGCAGCATTCTTTGATATTTCCCCCTGAATTGTCCCCCAAAACTCCCCAAAACTTCCTCAGCTGCCATCTTTGCTGTTGGTGTCTAATGGATGTTTTGGTTTGTTGATGAAAGAAACATAGTGCTGAATGTGTGGGTGTTTGTGGGGGTGTGTATGATAAGATTTAAAAAATAAGTAAGTAAATTTGGCTAAGTTGAAGCTGTAACCATTTATTATTATTTGACTAGTACACGGAAAAGTAGAGAAAGAAATTATTTACTTTGTCTCCAGGGTGTACAGAAACAGCTAAATAGATGAAGTTGAAAAAATATCAATAAGGGTATCTAGACAAATGTTCCAATGAAGATCTATTAGTCTGTGTAAAAGAAAAAAGCTCTGAGGCATTTTAAAAATAGTTTAGACTAAGTCCTAAAAAAAAAATAATAATTTGTGTAGAAGAATCCTAAGGAATTGAGTAGTTTTTTGCATTTACTAAACCATTCCTGTTTAATAATTTCTTTCACTTTTTGGATTTGAAATGACTGGAGTCCTAAACTGTGTACATAGATAGAGCTTCTTCCACCAAAGCAAAATGCCAGTCTAATTTCAGCAGTTTCTCAACAGATTGGGGTTTCAGGCATCTTGAAACAAACATTATTGTCTCATCCTATACTCTATTTAAGTGAGACTGTACTTTCATTCCTCAGATTAGTTTTCAGCATTCTGAAAGATGAACTCTAGAAGGAGTCATAAAATGACTTTAATGACAAAAAATTCCAGAAGTCCATATAAAAACAACATAATCATACCAAATAAGTGATAATAAGTGTCAGGTCCTGCATTTTGGACACAACAACCCCAGGCAGCCCTACAGGCTTAGGGAGGAGTGGCTGGAACGCTGCCTGATGGAAAGGGACCTTAGTGTATTGCTGGACAGTCATAGAATCATAGAATCATAGAATCACAAGGTTGGAAACGACCTATAAGATCGTCTAGTCCAACCATCTTCACACTACCACTGCTACCACAAGCTACTAGACCATATCTCACAGCTCCTCATCTAGACGCCTCTTGAACACTGCCAGGGATGGCGACTCCACCACCTCCCTTGGCAAGCCATTCCAGTGCCTGACCACTCTCTGAGAGAAAAAGTTTTTCCTCATGTCTAACCTAAACCTCCTCTGGTATAACTTGTGGCCATTTCCTCGGGTCCTGTTTGTTGCCTGGGAGAAGAGGCCAAACCCTTCTTCACCACAACCTCCCTTCAGGAAGTTGTAGAGTGCGATGAGTTCTCCCCTGAGCCTCTTCTTCTCCAGACTGAACAATCCCAGCTCCCTCAGCCGTTCCTCATAAGACTTGTGCTCCAGACCACTCACCGGTATCGTTGCCCTTCTCTGGACATGTTCCAGGGCCTCAGAGTCTTTCCTGTAGTGAGGAGCCCAAAAGTGAACACAGTACTCGAGGTGCGGCCTCACCAGTGCTGAGTACAGGGGGATGATTACCTCCCTGCTCCTGCTGGCCACACTATTTCTAATGCAGTTGGCTGAATATGAGCCAGCAATGTGCCCAGGTGGCCAAGAAGGCCAATGGCATCCTGGCTTGTACCAGGAATGGAGTGGTGAGCAGCACTAGGGAAGTAAGTAATCCTGCCCCTGTACTCGGCATCAGTGAGGCCTCAATTCGAGTACTGTGTTCAGTTTTGGGCACCTCAGTACAGAAGGGACATTGAAACGGTAGAGCAGGTCCAGAGAAGGGCAACAAGGCTTGTGAAGGGCTTGGAGAATATGCCTTACATGGAGAATCTGAAGAAACTGGGGCTGTTTAGTCTGGGGAAAAGGATGCTAAGGGAAGACCTTATTGCTCTCTTCCAATATCTGAAAGGTGCTTACAGTGAGAGCAGAGTTGGTCTCTTCTCATAGGTGACAGGACAAGGGGAAATGGACATAGGTTGTGCCAGGGGTTTAGGTTGGATATTAGGAAACACTTCTGTATGGAAAGGGTTGTTAAGCACTGGAATAGGCTCACTGGGGAGATGGTTGAGTCACCATTCCTGAGTGTGTTTAAAAACCATTTGGATGTGGTACTCAGGGACATGATTTAGCGGAGGGTTGTTAGAGTTAGGGTTGTATGGTTAAGTCATGGTTGGACTCGATGATCTTTAAGGTCTTTTCCAAACTGAGTGATTGTATGATTGTATGATTCTATGATTCCATAAAACTACTGAAAATTGCAAAAAAAGTAGACTTCTGTTTTTGTGATTTTATGAGCTATAGGGTTAAGCAAGATTAGGTTGAATGGTATAATTCTTGATTATTTTTAATGTTAAAACTTTAGGTTTAAGGAAAGAGCTTTTTATTTTTAATTTAACAACCAGGTGCAATTTGTATATAAAATGACATATCAAACATGTTGTATGCTTTTATGTTTTTAAAAGTAAAACAAAGTTTAGTCATTCATTTTGTACTAGTTTGATTTTATATTTATTGTTAAGTAGAATTACTATCAAACAAAGATTAATTTCAATCATTTCTAAATGAAACTATCTGAACCTATTAAAATCTTTCTAAATACATATATAACCTTTTATTTTTACTTTCAAATATCAAGTATGAAAAAAATGACCCCTGTGTCTACAATATTTTGAAGTTGGTTCATTCTGAATGTAATACATACTGGTTAGTGAAGGACACCAAATGTCCCTTGCTCTTGTTTCAGTATTCTCTGGACCACTGAAACACCTACAGGTTTCAAACACATCACATCTCTGGGTCTTGTACTCCATCTCTTGTCCTCCTTTCTCCCCAAAAAGTTATATCTCAAGAGCATTTTCTCAAATGATGTTAAATTTTTTGTCTACTCTAATCTTGCTGTTTCAAGCAGTATTTCAAAGAGAC